GAGAGGAGGGAAAGAGAGCCTGGAAAGGTTTGTGCCCTCAATCCGAAAGGATAAAGAAACAAGGATTCCCTCCAACTCCTGAGAGCCTTCATCAGAACAAAAGGCAATCCTCTTGCTGCAGCTAGCAGTGAAAAATTCCCTTCGTATTTGTGTTTGGGGATCCTCCATACCAGCTCCACTGGCAGCAGTTGTGCCATCAGCAGGGTCTGCCTGCAGCCTGGTTCATGGAGCCTGACCCTGCCATGCTGGGCTGCTCGAAGGCCCTGGGGCTCACATGGGGCAGCAGCACAGTGCCACCCACCACGATCTGTGCCGGCCAACACAGCACAGTGCTCGGGGCGGATGCAGGCACTGCAGCTCAGCCCAATGGAGAGCTCAGCAATAAAGATAAGGCAGATGAAAGAGGACTCGTTAGTCCCAGCTTGGAGTGCCTGGCAGCTGGCCATAAATCCCTCTTGTTTATACAGAAAGGGGCCACAGGGTTTTCCACTCTCCACCCAATTAAAAAACAAAAGCTGTGAGCAGAGCAGCTGATAACACAGCCCAGGGCAGCCTCATCACCCCCAGGCTGCTCTGCTTTAACCTGGGGGCTGTTGTGGGGCCGGGAGATGCCGTGGTTCAGGTGTGCCACATCCATCACAGCAGGGACTCAGCAAAGCCAGCGTGGGGCTGATGCTGGAGGCAGCTGGGGGCCCAGCGCCAGCCGTGGTCCTGCAGCAGAGGTCACAGATCTGACAGCAAGGGACAGCAGTGTCCAGCAATAACAAATGCTGCAACAGGAGAAATGTTCTTGGAACAACGACTAACTGCTTTGCCAGGAACCTTCCACACTTAGAGACCAGCTGATATTTTGCTTGCAGTGTGTAGACAGCACAGTCAGAGCCCTGTGCTGCTCTGTCCAGCTGCATGGTGAGTGATTCCCAGCCCAGGGCCCCCCAGCAGCCACATCCTCAGCAGGCTCAGCCCCTCACCCATGTGAGCCCTGTCTGTACCCTCCTGAGCACAGCTCAGCCAGCAGGATGAGCTGCCAGGGATGTAGCAATGTTTTCAGCCATGTGCAGCCTCTGTACCAGGTTTCTCCAGCCTCACATACATGTCCCCAAAGTGCTGAGAGTTCTGGTGCAGGCAGTAGGCAGCCACAGGTCCCCCACTTTTATGCCCACATCACTGCCAGCCCCAGGGAGGCCCATGGGGCTCCTGCTGCCCCCACCCTCCCAGATGTGATTCCAGGCAGGAGCAGAACAGGAGAGATTGCCTCAGGTGCTGCTCCTGGTGATCCTGCACCTGGGCACAGCCCTGCACTGCCCCAGAACCCTAACAAATTATTTCCATTCCTGGCCCGTATCCCCAAACCCCAAAGCATCCCCCAGCCACAGCCAGGCACCAAACGGCATCACTCTCTCCTTGCAGGCAGCACAGGAGCCACCCTATTGCTGTCACTGTCCCCAGCAGAGCCCTCTGGGGCAAACAGGAGCCACCACGGGGCTGACAACCCAAGTCTGGCACAGAAGCAGCACAGGGATGTAAATGGGAAACAGACACCATTTTAGAGCACAACAGAAGCTCGGTATTTTTCCCTGCCCACTTTTGATGAACTCGTTTGGCTGCAGGAGGACCACAGGATTTCCTCAGCCAGGTCTGCACTCACAAACCACAACGGTGAGACCGCAGGGAGGGCAGCCCCTATTCCTGCTCTCTGGCTTCCCACCAGGAAACCGCTGTGTGCACAGCTCCGGTTCCTCAAGCAGCCACAGGCCTGGATTTCTGCCATCAGCTCCATCTGCCCAGGGGACAGCAGGTGCCTGGCCTTATCCTGAACCCCTACTGCAGCACTGGGGAGCAAAGCCAGAGCGATGGACACAGGTGCAAGGCCCAGACTCCCCCAGGCCTGGCACGAAGTGCTGCCTGCCCGCATGAACGCTTCTAGCACTGTCACAAGGCAAACAGGCCTTAACAGAAAGGAATGCACGGGCATGTCTGGGCACCCAGGTGCTTTTGCAGCCTGACGAGGCAGCTAAATGCCTTTGAAGATGCTGTTGCGTGGCAGCGGAGGGCACCGCAGTTAAAGCAAGGACAAGCTTCCACTTCTAAGGGAACATTTCAGCTTCACTGCAGGCTCAGCACAGCCACATCCCAACCAGAGCTGTGGGGGACTGAGAGGCAGCCCAGCCCCACACCACGACACTGCTCACAGCATGAGAGGGGACCTCCTGGGGACATCAGAAGGTCCAGGGCCCACAGGTGCTGTGCAGCCCCATCCTGGGATAAGGAGGAACATCAAACACACAGCTGGAACCCCCTTCTGCTGATGCAGATCACACACCGTGATTTTAAAAAGGAAGAAATTGTGATTAAAATGTTTTTTTGTGGACAGTGCTCTCAGTAGAGAGCTCCCTGAAACACTGCTGCTCCCCATTCTGCCTCTGCTGGGTGGCTCCCACAGCCATCCTGTGTGGGAAGGGGGGATGGGATGATGGAAAAAGAATCAGAGGAGAAACCCAATAAGGTGAGGCACTGGAACAGGTTGCCCAAGGAGGCTGTGGATGCCCCCCATCCCTGCAGGCATTCGAGGCCAGGCTGGATGTGGCTCTGGGCAGCCTGGGCTGCCGGTTGGTGACCCTGCGCATTGCAGGGGGGTTGAAACAAAACGATCATTGTGTTCCTTTTCAACCCAGGCCATTCTGTGATTCTATGAAATTTCTCACACTTCGCAATGCCAAGCAGCCTGCAAACCAGTGCCATCTCTCAGCAGTCTCCCCTTCAAACCACGTACAGCAGGGCGCAGTTTATCATTCCCCATGCCGAAGCAGCACAGCGCTGCTGGCAGGTGCAGGAAGCGATCCCACACTGTCATTTAGTGCTCATCCTGGAATGAAAGCTCCGTGGGGACACAGGGCTGCTCTCGCCCTCCTGCTTTCATTAGGTGACTCTGCGCTCTGTCACAGCCTTTGATCTCCGCGGGCTCTGGGAGATGTGCAGGAGGGAAGGAGCGCGTCTTTGGCTTTTGCAGCTCCAGTAATGACATCCTTCCGCAACCCCGGGAGGATGATCGAGCAGCACTCCTGAAAGACAGCTTTAAATAAACTAATTAGCAAGCTGTCTTCATTTCTGGATTTAGCAACTCTTCAGTGCAAATTAAAGGTGACGAGCAGCATCTGAGCTAAGCCATGTGTGAGCCTCGCAGTGCTAGGCGCTCCTCACACCCCTGTGGACGTTGGATGCTCTGCAGCTCCAGGGCGACAGCCATAGGAAGGGCTGGTGCCAGCATCAGCCAGGGGAGATGTGGAGATGTTTGGAAAACGTGCAGAGTGCTGCTGCAGTATTTCTGAACATGGGCAAAGGAGAAACAAAGCCAACACAGCCAGGGTGCACTCATAGGAGGGAAGCTGGGGTGAAACACATTGGATTTAATGAGCACATCTCAACCCTGATGGTGCCACTCCACTGCAGGAGCACCAACAGGAGCCCCCTGCTCCCCCCAGTCACAAGCAGCTGTAGAAATCTCATTGACTCAGGCAGAAGCTGAGCAGAGTTCTGTGATGCCCAGGAAGGCAGCAGAGCCCTAACTGCCCGCAGGGCTGCAGGAGGGAGTCTTTGAGGCAGCTCGCAGAGGGCTCCTGCATGTGTCCTTGTGGGCGATGGGCACTCAGTCAATGAGCTCTGCAGATGCTCTCCACAATTTTTTTCCACTATTAGTAACAATTAGTGGGAGTGAGTAGGGCAAGGCTTTGAATAATCCCTGTGCATGTCATTAGAGCGTGTGTAAATCCCCGTGAGCCCGCACGCAAAGCCTATTGAAGGTAGCTGTTCCATCCCCCCATGGCACACAAAGCCTATTGAAGGTAGCTGTTCCACCCCCCCTTGTCATGCTGCGCCCCATCTTCAAGCAGGCTTCCAGGAGGCTGCTGCAGCAACGAGGGGAGCACGAGCCATGCTTACAGGTCCTGCATACAAACATTACCCTGAAAAAGGTTGACAAAGGATAATCCCATTGTTCAAACCCAGAACAGCATTTCGGCTCTTCTTCTGGGTAATGGTCACAGTAAATAAAGAGCAGCAGCTAATTAATGTCATGAAGCTGTTCCTGAAAGCCTTCTAAAGAAGCAATGCTGAGTATTCCAGAAGTACTGGCTGCAAGTAATTGAGCTCACCAACAGCAGAAAGCTAGAGAAGCAAGAAAAGGTGAATTTAAACAAATTTCATTACTGACTTCATAGCAAGTCTTTTGTGTTTTTAATCAAGAGACACACAGTGCGTACCTCTGCAAAGCACGACTGCTACCAAGTACCTGCACCTCTGGCTGCAGCTCACAACTTTGCCAGGAAAGTGAAACTGCATTCTTGCACTTAGGAACCATGGAGTGACCCCAGAGGAAAAGCTCACCTCACCCTGAGATCAGATGCATTAAATTTAACTAACAGTCCTTAGAGTTAGGGACAAAGCACATCCCAGTTAATACTGCAAGACTTTATATTCATTGTAACACACTGAAATCAATGATAGGAGACTATGAGTGACTAATCCAAAAAGAAATCAAACACTTGAAATTAAAAAAGTTTATTTGAAGATTCATAAAACAGCTCTGTGAAAGATCAACATTCCCAAGACACTACTATAGGATAATAATTTTCCTACTGTTAGAAAATAAAAATTCAACTATTAAAATTCTTACAATTCAACTAATAAAAGCATACATTTACAGACCAAACATTTTACTTTCAACACCAAGAAAGTAAATGGGTTTGAGAGTCAGACTAGTAGCACCAACACTGGGTGATCACAAACCTCACGGGTCCGAGCCTGGGTTTGCCAGCACTGTGCCATGAAGGTTAGTCAGGCAGATCAGACCTGTGAGCACTGAAAAGTTTATACAATGGAATACCATACCTGCATTCTTTTTACATTCCAGTGATGCAAAAGCAAGCCAGAAACACCAAAGAGTTTCCAATAAACTCCAATCTTCCATTTCAGTACAAGAAAGATTTCAGAACTTACAAATGGCAGCTCCACATTCAACACACAACTTTATTCACTTTATGTTCACACAGTTTGTGCAGTAGAGGACATGTGCAATAGAAAGATGTGAAGAACAAGATGTAGAAGTGGACAGCATGACAAGGATCCCATGAGCCCTTCCTTGCAGTGCAGCACAGCACTATACTGCTTTCCGATGGTACTCAGGAGGGGCCACTTCATAGTCACTGGCACTGAACAACGCAGAGGAATTCTTTGCTAAGTACCTAGGAAAGGTATTACAAAGGTTAAGTTTCCTTTCCCAAGGTGTTATTTAGTATCACAAACAAATAATGAGATGTTTATTGAAATCACACCGTGAGATTCCAAGAGCATAAACCAACATATACCACTACTAGAAAGAGTCAGCTGTCCAAAGCAATTAAGGATCGACAGCTCATGCCAAAAATCAGTTCCAAACAAGCTGTTGTCAAGAGCTCTTGGCTCCAAGCGAGCACAGCGAGGTGAAGACTAACAGGATGAAACACTTCACACTGGAGGTTCAGTGAGCTGCTACACCAGGAATCCAGCTCCTGCCAGTAGTTCTGAAGCAGGGACAGGACAGCTGTCAGCACACACGGATGGTGACAGCCACATGAGCCACAGCAAGACAAGCACTGCACAGCGTTACTTCTCATGTGTGCACTCAGGGGCCTCTGGTCAACGCACTGGCTTCACCTTTCCATCTTTGCAGCTGACAGTACTTCAGCACTCGCCTTTACTTTCATATCCACAGAATGACTGCTAACTTCAGGATTACTCCAAGACAATTTCCCCTGGAAATCAGGTCGACTCTTTTCTAGCTTCTTACAGGGCAAGGTGTGTTTTGGAAGTGCTGAGGATTTCCTTTTGACTTCCAATAGCTTACTCAAAGAGGTAAGTTAACATTTACTGGCAAACAGCTTAATGCTTTGTTACCCCCAATAATTTACAAATCAGTGTTTCCACAGACTATCAGTGGACCATTAAAACCTTATATGAAAACAAAGAACATTTCTTCTCTTCAAAACAAACAAAATGGAAGCTTGAGGCTTTGCTAGAAGTTGATCAAGAAATTAAGTGCAGCAAAAGTGGTAAGCTGCACTGATGCTGTGAGCTGACAGTGTGCATGCACACACACCTGGTCACTGAAAACAGGTCACACTACAGTAGTCCACTTACTGTTCTCTTGCTGCAAGATTTGAGAAAGTACTTACTTTAAGAAGTCATGCAAATAGTTTAACAGCAAAGCCAGACTCTTCTCGTCAAGAGGCGTGTAAGCAAGCATAGCTCCAATCCGAACTGTTTCAAAACAAGTAGCACTTTGGTCATAAAGAACATGTCTAAAAGTATTACAGCAAGTCTAAACCTACACTAGCATATATAAAGAGCCCAGGAATCCATTCTCATACACACAACTAACCAGAAACAATGTGCATTCCAAATCCTTGGATGACTGAATATAAGGCATACAACAAAGAAGTCACAGGTTTTGGAATTTGCCTCTCCAATTTCTGCAGTTCACACTCGCTGAGACTCAAGACAGGAGAAGGAAGCATTCAGATGCTCTTAACCACTCTTTAATCTCTAAGTGATACTCACCAAATAGCCTCAACAGATGTGGGGCACCGTAGACTTGAGACATAGGAGCATCTGGATGATCTGCTAAGATTTCAGCATACTGGGGCCTCTCAAACTTGTACAGCAGTTGTGTTCCCAGCATGACATTGAAGTATTCTTTAATTCCAGCCACAACTTCATTGACTGCATACTCCCTGGTAAACAGAGAAAACATTCGAGCCTTGTTCTTACGTCTGCCTGGACACAGGGTTAGATCTGACAGATTCACCAAGCCAGAAGTTCTGAAGTTCTTTTACAAAGCTTCAGATTTTTCCAGGAAATCTGTCTACAGACCTTGAAATGCAGAATTCCTTGCAGCTGTGTATTTCAAGCCCTCCTTTAATAACTGCTTTTAACACAGTAAGAATTTACATAAACCAAAAAGCACCTTGCTTATAGTCATCTACTCAAGTTAGCTTGACTCGGTCATTCAAAGCAATAGTGAACTTGTGTTCACTGGGTGAGAACAGGTAGAGAACTACTGACGTGGCTTGGCTTCTACAGCTTCACTTAGGAAAAGTGTCAGGGAAGGGCAGAGTGCAAGGGAGAGAGAAAACATTCAGAAAGTAGGATTGTGTTCTTGAATCATGTCCTTGAAGACCTGGATCACCTTGGTCTCAAACACTAGGCTGAACATGGCACTGGGATGTTTAACAACTAATCTTGTTCATGTAGAAACTTGCAATCCAACAACAGTGAGACATATTTAAGATCTGAAATGACTGCTGCTTACTTGTTATCAGTGTTTCCTCTAGATTTCTTGTAGTTTGCATAATCCTCTAAAATAGAGTCAACATTCTTCTTGGCAGGAAGATAGAAGAGCTGTGGAAAAAACAAAGCAGAAAACACAAACTGTCAAACTTATGCAGACATTTCTATCTGCATGCTTGTCTTAAACTGACATACATAAGAAAATTTCTAGAATAAAGTTAACAGGTTAAGGTGTAAAGTGCATCCACAATTCAGCACCCAATACTGGTACTGGAAGCAAACAAGCCTGCTGGGCACCTGCTGGGGCCAGCAGTTTTCAACAACTTAGTAAGACTGGCAAGAAGAATACAAAGTAGTTTCACTTATTAACAAGTTCCTGAAAAAAGATAATATTTCTTACAACAGAAGACAGTTTATTTTAGGTAAAATTACTGTTTTATACAGATCCAGCTTGGCAGCACAGTTAACAATCACTATTCTAAGGCTGTTTTCTGTCAGAGCTGTAGATGCCTCAAATGCTTTCACAGTAAGTGATGTGTAAATAAGACAGGATGGAACTAAGGTAAGGCATCACCTACAATGCTCATTCAGACTAATTCCGTCACCTAAGCAAACTCCTCAAAGCTTTCCAACAGGCCAAACATGCTTAGAAGAACAGCACAAAACTTAAAATTATTTGACTTTTAGCTTATGTCCAATTAGACTGACTACACTCTACAAATCTACATGCAATTCCGCTGCACAGGTAAAATCCAACTGCAATCAGAACTGTCAAGTAAGGCTTCTGTTAAACTGAGGGATTTTGCTGCACTGCACTCAAGTGAGATACAAGATTCCTGATGATTGTGCTTGCCTACACATTAATAGACTGTTCTTTCAAAAATTACCTGTTTTTGCCTGGTGATCAAGTCCCAGTCATCAACCAACCACGGTTTCAGCTCTTCTGGGATTTTCACCTTTACTTCAACTCTGTTCATAAATGTTTCTTCCTAGAAAAAAAAAGTGGATTCATGCTATTTACTTTCAGATAATCAACCAAGATAAGGCACTCATCCCATCCTTTCCACAAAGGAAATATACTACAGGAGTAAGGAATTGCTAAGGTGGGAGAACAAGGAAATAGCTCAGGTGTTCAGGCCACCTAGCAGGCCTAGCATTTCAAGAAGTCATAACAATTCACACTGCCATACTGCAGGATGAAGTACTGTCTGTATTTCTGAGCAAAGTAGCTCTTCTTTTCCCCATCAAAAATCCTGTAGGAGAATCATAAACACATACACTTTCCACTGTTGGATCTACTCGTGCCCTCTTCTTCCTAGGAGGCTGAGGAGTCTCACTGCTGCTGCTCCCTTCTCCAATTCCAGGAGCTGTACAGAAGAAAGACAGAGTAAGAAGTCTGGTAAGGCTATAAGAAATACCAATAAAAAAATGTTTAAAAGGATTTAAAAGTAACATTCAGATTTCTCTCAAATCATCTTTTTGATGTGGTTTTGTTCTCAAAATTAACTGGACATCACACATTTGTGACTGTTTAAACTGCTACATTCACATTTATCTGAAGATGGATACAAAGCAGTATCTAGTTTCTTTGGAAGAAATCTTCTGGAACCAGCAACTCAGCTATGCAAGCATGTCCCATCTCGGTAAGAAAACTGAAGTGTGACTTTACTATTGAGAATTATTTCAACAGATTAATGTGGATACCACTTGACACTCTATTTCTGAAGGGTCTAAATCCCGACAGACTGGAACAGTTCACGTACAAAGCAGTGAGTTACAAATTCCTGTTTTATTAACTAGCAAATTACACAGAAGAGACACCTAAAGTCCAGGAGGAGCACTGTGAGTGAGGTACAGGAACCAAACTCAGCAGGGGCAGATTTAAGGTCTTATTCCAGCTAAGAATCCTTCAGTAAGCATATCCACTTACATACAGAATAAAGATGTACTTACTTTTCTGCTTGTTCTTTTTTGTTTTCCTGCAATGAAGAACACAAATTATTGCAAACATAAAGATGAAAGTACTTAACGAATTGAAAGCCAGAAAAAAGTACAGTAAGTTTAGATCCACAAACACTCAGAGGACTACAAAACGTTTAGAAAACAACAAGAGGAGAACTGCCAGGGATTATTTACCACCACAGTACCAATGCTTCAAGATTTTTCTATGACAAAGGGTAGTATTCACTTTTTGGGGGATGAATTCAACTCAAATCTACAGAAATCCAGAAGGCAGGCCATGAGTATTTTCAAAAAACAAGCATCTTAAAGCACTCCTGGCCATCATTACCAAGGAATGTCCACAAATGTTTTGTATTTCCCAAATGCTTGTAGAGGTGTTATTTCAGAACTTCAGAGGTCACTTAAAGACAGAATGAAGGACAAGGAAATATCAGGCATCTCAGCCAACTGACTCCTGTAGAGCGCTGGAAGAATAATTTTACCACTTCAGCAGCACAAGAAAGTTTGAACAGCATCATCAGAATTCATTGTGTGCATCAGGTTGTATGGACTGCCCACGATGGCATCAAAGCTCAGGGAGATCACTATTATACCTGCCTCTCATTTGTAACATTTGGAACTATACTGAATAGAAACGTTCCTAATATTTATCTTCTTCCAAATACAGCTCTCAAAGTTTACCATATATATTTCAGACTTCCCTCAATCCTCTATCCTTAACCTTCATTTCTATTCCAAACTGACAGTCATACTGAGAAACTAACTTTAAATATTTAAAGAACACCTGACATAATGCCCGCTCTATGTAACTATTCAGATATGGCAAGAGATATTAGAAACAAAAATTAAACTGTCCTAGCAGATTTTCATACTTGAACTTTGTACATTCACTGATTTTATTCATTTAAGAAAACTGGAACTAAGCATTACCAGCCATGTTCCATCTGTTTATTACTAAGAGGAATCCAATTAAACACCTCAGAAAGTAAAAACAATTCTGTGCTAGATCCCAGGTCATGAAATAAAGCTTTATACCAGTACATTATTATTTCTTTGGAAACTCATCACCATGTCAAGTGACATTTGTGGTCAGCCTCTGAGCTGGGTTATCTGGGTCAGCAAGCAGGCAGAGTTTCTAGAAAGGTCTGAAATAAGAGTAACACCTTTTTCAGGCTTCAAATCACAAGCAATCATTAGGCTTAAAAAGAACTGTGAGTAGAATAAAGATCCCCTCTCTCTCTCCAGGAGGAAGTACAATTGTCAAGTCAAGTCACTGACAATGGACCTGTGCACTGAAGAGACTCTTTTCTTCGAAACCTGGAGTGAACAAGCAGAAATTGAGTCCTTTTGAGAATTACTGTCAAGATAAAAATAGTTTTAGAGCATCAGCCTCGCAGAGTCTTAGCAAACTGGTATAGGTAGGCCATATAAAATACTTTAAGAAATACTATAATTCAGATAGTAAACCACAGCTATGCTACTTAATCAGAGTCTAGCATAAATCCACACTGAGCAGTTGCTTGTACTCTCCCACCTCTTTCATTATTTCCTGATTCCTTATATTTCAAGGTATACACCTTTGCACCAAGTCAAAGCAGCCATCTGTTTGCAGTCTAAAAGACAAATCTCAGTTAGCAAACAAACAAAAATCTCAGGTTAGAGACAAAGCATTAGCACTTTGGCAGACCTTCAGCAGACAGTCTGGAATAACTCTTCACTAGGTTAGAACAGCTGTGCAAGACAAAATGCTTCTGTTGAGTAACTTAAGCATGCAGCGCACTCAGTATCCAGGAGAGAGACACAGCATTTGTATACAGACAGCCTCACTGAGAGAACCTGGAATCTAGGAGGAGCAGCATATCTTAAGCAGACTCATTGAGACACAGCTGAAGAATGCCATATATGTTCCTTGTGATGGCAGACAACAATTTCCTGCAAGGGAATTCAAGTTCTGAAGTGATACAAAAAGATGAAATACAGCTGGCACAGACTAAAGCACATCCTTTTGTGCCATTTCACACATTAAGAACAAGCCCAAAAACACAGTCACAGCAGCACGAGGTATTTGACTGACTTCATGTACAAAGTACAGCCTGGCTGCAAGTTTACATGCACCACTGAATGGCATTTCCATACAGAATTAACCAACAACAAAATAAGCAGCAACATGGAACTGCCAGAGAAGCTCCTGTGGAAAGTTTTAATTAAGACTGATCAGAGAGTTGCCAGGTACTGAAGACCTCACAGCTCAAACCTGAAGAATGTATTCAGACATTACTCCCCACAGCAGCAAGGTCAGCAATCAGAGTTCTGGGAGGAAGGAAACCCAGTCCTCACTGCAGGGTTTTGATTTAGCCAAATGAGGACAGGCACCTACATCCACAATACTCCAATATTAGTGATCAAAAAATGACATTGAACTAGAAAGCCAAAGATAAAGTGAAGATGCTGATATCACAAGATCTGAAATTGCACAGAAACAAGATAATCAGCAGGAAATGAATACAACTACAGCTTACAGAACTGCTCATTGCAATTAAGTACTGTAAATCAAGGGTGAGACTCAGAAGGAAAATAAGTAGTCCACAGCATAATGCTGAATTTTCAATTGCAATATCCAAAACAAGATGATGTTCACAATCAAATTGTAAGCACAACTAAGGAGGGTGCCAGAGAAGAACATGCTGAAAGCCTGCACCTCACCCTTCCAAACATCCATCAGAACAAAGATACTCCAAGTACTTGTCAAACCCCTTGGACATTACCTCAAGTAGCTAGCAGTTTTTGCACAGGAGAGGAGACACTGGTGCTCAGATCTCTGAAAGCGTCTTCTGGAGTCATATGTCAGTAGAAAACGAGTAGCTTACAGAAGAATTCAACACAGACTAATGATATCAGGAAAAAAGAAAGACATTGAAAGGTTTGCATACTCCACAAGAGAGAGGAGTCTATGACCATCTAGTTTAAAGGTTCATGAACAACTACAAGTGCTTTACTTTACCTAAACCCTCAAGTAGTTTAAAAGGACACAGAAGTCTGGTAGAACCTCCTACAATAGCTGGTTAAGATACAAGCAGCAGAATGAAGGTGGGCTACCACGTGGGTCTCAGGGATTTGAGCTTTAAGACATTCGTGAGCACCACAAAAAGATGAATGAGGTGCCAGTTTGCTCATGATACAAAGATGTAGCTAAGCTGTAAAAAAAAAATCTTGACGTCTCTCCTGATATGAGGTGACTGGTAATAAGACCAATAAGATCTTAAATGAAAATAATCAAGTATGGAAAATAAGTATGTTGAAAAGAGCCTGTCAGCCTTCCTCTGCTCAAGCAGCTCGTTCACTGAATTAGCTCTGAGGAACAGCACTCCTATCAAAATTCAATTAAAGCATCCAACACTATCAGGAAAAGTATAAATACCCAAGTCAGAATTACGTGCACCTTTGGCTTAGATGCTGAGAGTAACCACTGGGCAGAAAGAAGAGCAGAAATATTGTAGAGGTATTATTAGAGATAAAGGATGAAGCTAGAAGAACTAATTATTCTTGCCTCAAAAAAGAAAGTGACTGTAAAACCCAAGCAGCAGACATCAAAAAAGACAGGATAGTCATCCTCCTTCCTCCCCTCCTCAGCACAGCACTGAATTTGAAGGAGAAGCACCCTGCCACTGAACGCTGTGGATGCCAGAAGACCAAATGCTTCAAAAGTTCTAAGTGCAGAAGAGTCCTAAATCCAACACATTTGGAGCTTTGGAGCTCCTTAATTACAGACTGATAGAAGCAGAAGTGGGTTTTTTTTTTTGGTAGAAAAGCCTCAAACTTGACTCACTTGACTGTCCCTAAGTACACCTCACTTGTGACCACCAGGCAGCTGAGCAGGTTAGGAAAATCTCCAGCTGGAGCTCACATCCCATGACAGTGCTGCTAAAGCTCCAGACAACTGGCATGTAGGCAGTGGCATTAAGCTACTTGGTACCTAGAGGACTGAGAGTAGCTTTTGCAAGAGCTACTAGTCATGCCAGTGATAGTAAAGGATGCCACAGAAGACATGCAGCCAGAGCACATGTTTTTAAGTGATGTATTCAGCTTAAGAACAGGACTTCTGTTAGAAGAAATGACAACTTCCAGGTTTAAGTTGAGATACTGTTTTGAAAGCATCTCTGATGAGACTGCTTGTAAATGCCTCATTAAAAAAAGCCCAGAAGCTATTCTCAAATTTGTAAGCCAGTGCCATATCTTCACTCTGGTATTTTAGGTTGCCCTTCTTACTTCCTGAGCACAGGGTAACAGTTTACTTATCATACTATGCTCACCAAAAACAGCTTACATTCTTAGAAGCTGTTATTCAGCAGTACCATACATAAAACAGATTGAGGAAGCCAGCATCTGTAGTGTTGTACTTCACTTTTCAAAACTCACTATAACTATACAAATGCTTATGATAGTTTTTCTAATTAATATAAAACCATCAATTAATTTCAAAACAACGGTGTACAAATAGCATTTCATGCATATTTCTCTTTGATTAAATATTGCTTATTAATAGCCTTAAAAGCTGTTTTCAATTCATTGCTGCAGTTTACAGGAACAGTTACTCTGAACAGATTGAAGCCAATGACAAAAACATAGCAGATTAAAAAGGCAGGATCAGTCCTCACATTTGTAACAGTGTTGGTCACCACAGCCCAGCTCTCTGGTCTTACAGAACAGCACCGTTTGGACTGATTTCCATGGCTCCAGGATACAGTAAGCATGCAGAGCAACCGTAAACTTCTAGAACTAGGCAGTTTTGAAACTGACATCAGTTATCTTCTAAATTTTAAGTAGCAGACACTGAATGCATTTGACTACCCACAGCATACCTTTCCCCATCTGAAGATGTGTGCATTTCAGAGAAACTAAAAACCATTAGTCCACACTGGCTTTAAAAAACAAAGAACAACATACTGCAGTACTTAGAATTGTTAATTCAATTGCTACCAAAGCTTACATTATTACAACTGAAGACTTTAAGAGTCTCTTAGAGAAATCTACAAAAGCAAGGAGGTTTGGATTTCAGGATGAAAATCCTGGTTTGACAATCCATCCTTAACTCACCGCGTCGATATGGTAGGGGTCTCCAAACAGCAAACAGTATGCGCTCCATCTCGTCTGAAAAATCTAGGCACAATGGGGGTTGAGTTAAGGAAAGAATGTCAGACCCAGTGCTCAGCCTTTAAGAGAACCTATTTAAGATTCAAAAAATTTACCTTTTTAGCTATAGATTTACTGAGCATTCCTGGAGGATAAGTTGTTCTTAGATGGTTATCTCCTTTTCACTACTGTTTGGCTGAGGAACAAATTAACAAGTTCTCTCCCTCTGTTCAATCCTCCAAGAATGCTACAAAGGGTAACCTTTGAGGCCAAATCGGTTGACAGTGTTACCCTCTTAGAATATTTGCTCAATTGGTTTCTCCCCCTCCCCACCAACAATACTTCATGTACCTGCAAAGACCTTAGATTTACAACAGAATAATCCCGATGTTTTCAAACTATTTCCAGATGTTTTGGTTTTCAGAAGCCATCTTGCCTTTAGTTGTAAGCAGAACACAAGCAGCAGTAGCTCGTTCAATAACACAACAGCACTACAACCTTGCATCACTGCTAGGTTAGGTCAAAGGATTGCCTCTCCCTCAGCCTCCAGATAGGGAAGAAAAATGAGGAGACTTTATTGGAAGAACCAGAGGTCTAATTTAGAAGGATGCTGGTAATAGCTAGAGACTAGGAGCAAGATCAGTGCAACAAGCATGAGACCCTGTTATCTTTCACATCGGAAGACTGCTGTTCCAGTGACCAGAGTTTTCCTTCTTCCCCTTCACTACATTAATAACCCACCATTTAGAAATAAATTTTTTCAATCACCACGAAAAGTTTCCCATATTTTTCTACAAGAAACAATCCCTCATGCTTACTATAGTGACGAAAGAAAAAAGCAAAGCCATTCCCTTCACCCAACTGGTTTCAACTGGAGAGTAAAGACAGATGTGGTAACATGCTTTTGAGCTTTGGAATTGAACAGAAGTTTAAGATGAAGTCCTTTTTGCTGTGCCAGTTTACCTCAGATACAGCATTATTGTATGCGGTTGAGAGAATTAAAACAACTTTGAATTCTACTGCTTTTCAAGTGCAGGTTAGCATTCAGCATTTTCTCAGCTGGAAAGAGCAAGCCAACCCACTGCAATCAGCCTGCACCTCTAACATGACCAAAGCTGATAGTACAGGGAATGTAGTCCTGAAGGTACTATTGAGATATTCTCTGCAAGGCATTTGTAGAGTCGTGAAAAACATTTACAATCGAGCCATCACTTCCTATCTTAAAGAATTAATTCTACTTCCAGTGACTACAATGCAAATAGACTCAAGCGCAACAACCTCTCAAGTAGCCCCATTAGTAATTAGCACAATTTAGATGCTTTCATTAGTTTATAATGACATTCATTAGGAACTCTGTAGAGGCCCATCCCAAGCTGAGAAAGCATGCAAAACCAGTGTAGCTAAGGTACCTCACAACTTGCAGCAGTAGACCACAAGAGAGTATGTATGCAGTATTATGACCAGATCCATCTCAAACTCGATTCCAAAGACCAAGAGACAATTTACAGCCTTGGGGGGGCCTTGGCCAACTCCAAAACTAAATCTACGCTCAGGATCTACAGCAACAAAGCCTTCATCCACTGCTGTTGCACTTCTCAAACCAATGAAACATTTCATAACACAAAGCTGCCCCTAAATCAGGCATGAAGTGTGAGGCAAATTCTCTTAGGAAATGTCATCTCAGCAGCTTCCTCAAAGATCAGAATCTTAAATGAAGTTAGGAGTTCAAAACATGACACTGGTAACGAGCACCTTCATAATTAAGTAAGTCCAGTATTACTCCAGCAGAAGAGTTTCATGGCACATGAGCAAAGCAGAGCTGTACTGACTGTGTAAGAATTTAAGTGTAAGGCCATGCAAGCCTATTCTGAAAAAACAAAAAGGATGAAATGAAAGAAAACTGAAAGTTTTTGCATTTTTTTCTCCTGACAAACATCTGAGCTTGCTTCTGGTCTCTTAAGGTGGAAAAAGATTTTAACAGCATGTGTGTTTAGATTTGGCAAAAACCAACAAAATAAAGGCTTCCTAAATGCAATTTTATAATTGCACAGTAAGAGGGCAAGGCATTTTAAGGATTTTCCTGTATCAGAGCTTTGGCTCCTTAGAAGAACTAAAAAATTCCGCTCAATTTCACCAAGATAAACAAGTCTTAAGGGAACTTACCACATTTGAGTGTCAGTTCACTAACTTGAGGGGAATAGTATTCAAAAGAACTATAAAATGTTAACATCCAACCTATTCAGTACTTTGATTCAATATTAAGCACTGTTCCATCTTAGAAGATGGTTTTAATACAGTACTTCACCAAAGGCCTTTCAGATACCACAAAAGTAAACATCTGTATAGCTTGTGTCGGGAGTAATGGAATGGAGGCTAAATCGTAAGAAAATACCATTTAAAGATCAGTAGTAGAACTTATAAGCAATAGTTTGGTTTTTGTTCTTAAATGAAAAGCTTCTTACACTTCAACATTTTTCTGCTGCAGACCAGATGTCTTCTTGCCTGGAGCAGCACCTCTCATCTTCCCCTCTGCATATTGTTCCCTTTAAAAAGAATAAATTTGGCAATAAGACAAACTGAAAAAGCAGCTTGTTTTCCCTCAAAAGGTAAACAGTTACACAAAACATTTAGAGAACTGCTGACAAATAAATCAGAGTCAGTATTTGACAACGAAGGAACAAATTCAACTAAATAGCAGGATGTTTTTAAGCTTATTCATATAACAAACCATTCAAGGCATGACCTCCCATTTACACCTCCTCCCACAATCCTTGTTACTCAGTGACCTGGAAACAACAGCTAACCACTGCTAAAAAGAACAGATACATTCTGAAAAAAAAAAAGAAAAGGTTGCTTAGGATCAAGTCTGGAGTTTTTAAGCGTCTCCTAGGAAGACTACCCTCACTGCTTAAAAACACATTTTAAGGATACTGCAGGAGGGTCATTTTTAGTCTCCTTATTCCCATGTGACAAAACATACTTCCAGTTAGTCAGTGTGCCTGGCTATCTCACTGCCTTCTCTTAAAACTGAGGAACAGTTCACTCTATAAGATTCTGGAGTACAAAGACCAGAGCTCCCCAGGTCAAAGCACCTCAAGAATAAAGAGACAAACGCATACTTCTTGAATGTGCTTGCTGTGAGTTTTTTGTTTGTTTTGAACTTACTAACCTCCTCTGATATGCAGCAGTTAGATTGAAATTCTATAGAACAAATGATTCTGCTGAGAACAACTTCTAAGAAAAAATACTTACTGATTGGCTTTTTGAAGTTCTTTTTGTTTCTGCAAATTGGTATCCACGTATTTGAGCACTCTGCTTTCTGGAACCCATTCATCCCAGCTGGAAAAAAGAACAATAATTAATCATTCAAAAACACTATGTAATCACATTCTACACAACAGAATCAATTAAAAGCTTCACAGAATCTGAGACTGAAGTCTGCTTTTGTGACAAGTCATGGACTGACACAACAGAGTGTAAATTGCCAAACACATTCCCCACTGTCTGAAGTGGTAACAGTTTTTCTAGGGAAGTGTAACCCTCAGTAAATTCAGAAGAGTTCCCCAAACTCATAGGATGGGCAATTTGGGAGGGTGGGAATTGTCTTTAATTTAAAAGAATCATTTCAGGAAAAAAAAACTACACTTACTAAGTTATGGGACATCTGTAGCCATAACTATATTATTCTGTGAGTTTCCTTTATCTATTCCAACATTTTATAGGTTAACAAATTCAGCAATAAGATCTTACTGTAAGAAGAAGTGCTCTGATTTCTGTCTGTGAAGGAAACCAAGATGGCATGAATATTTGAAGAATCTGAAGTGAACGATTTAAGAGAACAGGTGTTGGGGAAATTGCCATTATGAGCAGTAATTCCACTTTGACAAAGAGTGGATAATCTGAGCAATCTGACAAATTATTTCAAATAAAAGCACATTAAAAGTGGCCACGTTATTCTGAAACACATAAGTTAAAGCTCACTATATAGATTTCCACGTCATTTCCATTTGATGGCAATAGCTGCTACTCTAGCAACATCAACATGATCAAAGCAATACTATTACAGGAGTATAAGGCTTTCAGGATTAAGACAAGCCAAGCTTAGCAACCAAGTGTTAGAGAAACAGATTCGCAGCTGTATTTTAGTGTTACATTTTTAGGGTAGTGCTTTGGTCAGATATGTAAGCCACTTATCTTACTCCTGGCTGTACAGCTGTGTCACTTTCAAAAGAAATGTTACTTAACTGCAGCACACATTACATTGTATGAGAAAGCTTTCACATCCTGTATTTCCAAAAAAAGTTAAACTGAGCAATTAATAACAAAGGACTGAAATTATGTAAACCAGAACAATCACTATTGCATTTGTCTAGATCTTGCAGCAATGCCACTTTTAATGTAGTTAACTGGAAGCCTGAAGGTAGGAAAACCTGCAAGCAACACAAGCATGAAAAGAAAAGCAGGAGTTACAACATCATTTACAGCACCCTTCACCACCAGAGATAAACAAGGAAATGAAGTACCACATTTATGCTGCCTCACTGATACAGAGCAGCCAGCTTAAGAATCAATTACACTCCCTGTAAATGTTTTACAGTAAGCAGTGACAGTTGTCTGCCCACTGGCAAGGAGGGGGATAGATGCATTTAAAGAGAACTGTAGGCATTAGGATGTGAAGTTCAGCTTTTAGTGAAGTCAGTGAGATCAAGATATTAGTGACAGTATTTGCTTGAGAATCCACAGCACTGAAATAAAGCAAAATCAGAAAGATTTCTGGAGCCTGAAGAGCTGAAGCTTATAGTCAGTAAGGAAAAAAACTCTCTTAAATTGAAAACCCTGTCACAGAAATTGAAAGGCAAAAAGCAACTACTGAATGCAGTAACTTTATGCAATACTCTTTAGAGGGCTGAACATTATAACATGAAGCCATCTTTAGAAGTCTCGCACCTAGAATCCTATTATTTTTGCAGAAGGGAAAGATTTCTCTAATGCTACCTTTGCATGACAGGCCAGAACTGAAAGACAGGCTAAGTCTGCTCCTGTGAAGGACTCAGATAGACAGCCCCCCCCACTCTGAAGGCAACCTTCACAAAGACACTGCTTACTAGATTTTTGCTGCCAGAAGCATTTTAGAGTGAAATACACTGGCGTTCTGAGAAGAATACTTGGCTCCATTGCAACTCTCTCCTACCAGAGTAAAGAAGTTTCCATATTGACATCTCTGCCAGGAGGGAACTATAGTAACTGTTTTCAAAGCTGAACAAACAAGCCTTCCTATTAGTCTACGGACAGCGTAAGCTACTTTGCCTACACAAACAAAGCCCTGCAGGAAGGAAACTGCTAGTTAGGCAATCTTTTGTTACTACAAATTATGGGCATTTGTATAAAAAATATTAAGGTTAATTTTAAAAAATTCTCTAATAACACACAGATGGTAGAACTTGTTCATCAAGCTAATATTCCGACTGATAACAAAAGGAGGACTGATTCCATTTCATGCAAATACTTACTTTTTATTCCAACCACTGTAATGAATAAAGTATTTCACTTGCTTGTCCTTTATGGCAACCTTTACACACTGGAACAGAGGAAAAGAGTTCTATTAGTTCAGTGAGAACAAAGATCTCCAAACAAGTTTTGCATCGTATGCTTTCAGACTCTAAACATGCAGAAATTTCCATGCATGCAACTGAAATACCTGGCAGCAATTCCACAGCAGAAACTAAGTTGCCTAACACAAGCTGCTGCCTATTTACAGATCTGGGAGGGCTAAGCAAAGCAACTCTGCTGAGCTATCCATAGGGCCACCTTCAGCCATGAGAAGGATCCAAAACCCCTGAGGAGCACCAGATTAACCACACAGCCACTTAACTAGTCCAAGGTTAGCCATAAGCCATTCAGAGAGCTAGCTGACATGCAGGCCCCTACCTCACAGGCAGATAAGCTGGCTGAAGTAGAGGAGTCTTCAAAAGTAAAGTAAATAGTATTTATCTCTGCAGATCACAGAGATCACACTGTATTCAGTAGAAAGGATTGTAGGATAGGCGTTTTCTAGATTGAGAATTTACACACGGGGTAAGTAAAAACAGTTATTTCCATCCAAAGATCGGCCTCTGAAGACAGTAACCTCCTCATGCACCAAGATTAAGGTGAGACCAATAAGAAAAGGGAATGTACAGGACAAGGTTGCCCCAGGTAATACCACTCAGCAGTGTCCCTCATGGGAACTTTTGTGTCTTAATTTTAAGAATGGTCCTCCCAAGAGCCTGTAAGATGTAACATCAGCTCATCCAAAGGAAGACTTTTAAATGAGCTGCAACAGCTACACATGCTGCTCTTTACCAGTTTTCTCCTGCATCTGCAGTCTGGCATGTAAGAGCTCAACTACCACATCTATATAGAAGGAAAGCACAGCCAGAGACATACCTCTTCCTGCAAGAACACAGCCCAGAAGACAGACTACATAACCTGTCACAGTTCATCTCTGTGCCCAGCTACATCTCTAAACTTCCCGGCTGTACCAAATTAAATTCCCAGCTTAGGGCTGGATAAGGCACTTCATCCAGAAAGGTATTTTCCTGGAGATGCTGGGGTCCATGACACCATTCTGCTCCACAACATCCTCACCTTAGTCTACTGCAAAGACATGAACATAATCTTTGGCTCCATCTTTTGGTTCCATATTAAGACTTTCTCTACTGAAATTGAAAATTGACTTCCACAAGTCAGAATGGGTATTTTTGCACTATGCTGAGTCACCTATAAGCACTCCTGAGAGTCCAGCCTTCTGCTGTACAGCATTTTCTCAGCATCACTGTCAGGACTCCTTCCCATACCTTCCCAATTTAAGAAATCAATGCTTAATTGTCAACAAAGTGAACAACATATTCCACTATTGATCTCAACACCACTATATATGGAACAAACTCAGTCTCACCTAGACTTACAACAAGGAGTAAGGATATCCTGACCCTGCTGATACGCTACTGCACTGGTTATTCATTTGAACTTGCTAGTTCACTGCAGACGTGGATTTAAAGCCAAAGTCAGATCGCAGGCTTAAAAAGCCTCTACTGGTTATGAGGAATCAAAGTAACATGAATATTCAAATAAATACCATCCTACACCAGAATACTTTCCTTCCTCAGAGAAGGAAGAGAATTAATGGATAACCACCACAGTACTTTCAGGCAGTTCACAGATGTTACAAGATAGCAGTTTTCAGCCAAAAGCATCTTAAGTAGACCTCATTTAATTTTGCATTGTATAGTTACTGCCATATGGATTGACAAATTGTAGCTTCCCATACTACTCTAATGCTAGTTTATGCACTCGCTCCAGCACCAAGTTTGCTGCAGTGTTGTGGGAACACATCCATTAGAGATGTTCAACACAAAAGATATAACCTTAGTAATTCACCAGAACAGCTGCGTAGTACTATTGTGGGTCTTGAGTTGTTTTTCTTGTTTTTTTTGGTGTTTTTTTTTTTTTTTTTTTAAGCTTCTCCATAATAAAGAACCACGGGGCTTAAAACTAAAGTGTATATAATAGCATGCTTTCCTTCATCTGAGCTTCAGTCATTAATCCCAGGGAGGTAAGGCACAGCAAGTAAACTCCTGCAATTCTTTATTTTCCTGGGCAAGTCAGAACCACCTGCAGTAATAAGCAACCACACATACCTTTGCTTCATAAAGGAGAGGTCCATGAAAACAGAGCACTCGTTCACCTGAAAGACAGTCACAGAAAGCCATCTTAGAATAAAACCAGTGCCATTTCTCAAAAGCATGTTATCACAGAACAAGTCCAACAGCAACCTAGCAAGAAACTCAAGGAGATTTTGAGAACCATGCTGGTGATGGAAAACTTTTTGTCGTGCAAAAGGATTGAAGCAGATTACTGAAGCCACAAAGGAAAGATTCCCCATGGGCTTCCCCGAAGAGCACTCGCACAAGGAAAGCTGCACACCAGCTGCATCCAAGCCCACCCACAGTTCTGTTTTTTTTTTCCCAGCAAACAGTTGACACCCAAACCTATTATCCTGCCCATACTTCTAGCCACCGCCAGTTCAAATTACTGGCACCCAGACCTGCTTTAGAACCATAACTTCAGACACAAATGAAAACACACTCTTGGTACAAACGTGTTCTTCAGCAGGTAAAACCATTTTGCTGTAAGGGATTCCTAAATCTTCATGACATTGCATTTTGACTCAGAGCAGGGAATCAGCTCTTGCTATGAGGTGCCACCCCTGTATCTCAAGCTGCTGACACAAACAAAAGCAAGTGTTACCAGCACCTCCCACCTTGCAAATGATAAGCTCCTATTGTGCAGTTCTATTGCAGGAATTTGAGTGTACTCAACAGAAGACATTGGAGTGCAGATGTTTCCTTCTTGAGAGCAGTGATGCATCACACGTTCTGAAAGAGAAGCTGCATAGCACACTCCAGTGTGCAGCACGCAGCCAGGACGTACAGGGCAGAGCAGTGCCATCAGCACCTGTGCTGTGTGGGCTGGCAGGGAGGACCCAGCAGCAAAATGCCTCCTCAGCCCCACAGCTCTGGAGCTCCTTGTGAGCAGCTCGAAAACAACCGATTTGCAGGCTATGGGTTTAGAAGTACCCCCTTCTGCAAAACTTACTCTACTCTTCAAAACTCATTTCTACATACTCAAGGGATAAGTCCAGCAGCAGCATGCAGTGCCTTTAAGCGTGACCCCTCTTGAAAGCTGAATGATCCTGGCTGTATTTGCCTTTCCTCATCCCAGACATAACTGAACATCTACAAAACTTGTAACCAGAATCACTTTGCAAACAGCTGAAAAAATGAAATATCCCCACACCTCAATTTCTTTTGGTGAGGGCACTGAGCAGCTCTCACATGCACTCTGAAACACAGCTCTGAAAAGGTCAGGGAAGCTGTCTGATTTTATTTTAATCAGAGGAGGAGGATTTGGGCACCATTTTAACAGCAAGAGCAGGATACAAGCAGACACATAACAGTTTCTCCAAAGAGCACAAGTACTACCAAACATCACCTACCAGCAGCAGGCTCAGATGGGCAAGTACACATCTGTAAGTTTACTACTAAACTCATATGCTGACTAGGGAGAGCACTCCCATTGAAAGATGTATTGTCTAGGCTATGAGACCACACGCCCTCACAGAACTGAAGTATTCACAGTAAAGTCCAAGAACACACAACTACGTCAGAAATGTATTTCAACTCGTAAAATGCTTCTGTATGTTGGAAAAAGAGCTAGAAATTCACCAACAAGTGATTTGTTTGGTACTTGCAGTACTTTCATGCAAAAACAAAAAACACTAAACAAGAGTCTTCATAATCAGATCTAAGACTCAAAAGTTCCATTAACCTCATGCTTCATGTTGCTCACTTGGCACTACTGGAAAACACATGTGTTATGATTACCATATAAAGCCTTTCCAGGCAAAACACTGAGATTAAGGAACACAGACCCTAGTTGTGCAGAAAGGTTATCATGAAAACAGAACAGCCCTAACAGATCAGCAGACCATTTCTTCCCTGCACTGCCACTGCTGCAGTAACACCCACGTCTACTCATTACCCCACAGGCAGGACTTGTAAGAAAAGAGTTCTTTAGCTAAAATAGCTGATAGAAAATACCTGGAACTGCTCTGCCAACACTTGAGGAAGCCAAGGTACACAGAGCATTTGTGCTGGGTACTAACAGCTCCCATGCTGGCACCAGGCAGCACACTCTGCCCAAACACAAAGCAGGCTCTGGACCAGCAAGTCTTCTGGCATCACTGACTGCGAGGAACAGCTTGGGGAAGTCTCAGTTCAGCTGCCCCCTCCTACAATTGTTTCACATGCAGAGTATTTATAGAAACAATAAGTTCTCAAGTTGTGTGTGAAGACGTGACACAAGTCTTGCCTTTGATGTCGAAGTAGAAGGCTAACAAGTCAGCTTGAGAACAGATGTGGAAGCAAAGATATCTCATCAGCATCATCAGGGAACAGACCTGCTCTAAGAAAGTCAAAGGCTGAACTTGACATCTGAGAAAGATTCAACATTCTCCATTTTCTCTTGCCAGTGAGAAGATGCAAGAACACCCAAAGAACCATTAATTCACACTTGACCAAACCTGATCTCATTTCTGAAGCCTACATGAAAAAAAATGACAGTTCCTTCACTATAAGGGATACCCCATACTTCCAGCAGGGCATCTGGGTGTTCCAGGCTTTCACTTGTGTCCACAGAAACCCAGCCTCCTTCTCACCCATTCCTTTACAGGAGGTGCGTGTTGCTATTACAAAACAGTTTCCAAACCCACCCAACACTATTTAATAACAGGATTTCAAGCTACATATCGTTTTATTCACCACACTGTGATGGCCATAACAAAACACTTCAGTTTCAGCACTTCAGGACTGCAAGAAGCTTCATTCATGGGACACTTCTCCAATTAAATGCTTGTGCTGAGCTCACAAACATTTATATTTAGGAAAGAAAGTTCATATTTTAACTTCTATTCTGAATTTATGCTGCTTGGACTCCTACAGCTATAAATATAATGTCAGCCTGGAATTCTACTCTACTTCCAGATCACTACATTTCGCATTAACTCACTTAGTACAATGTGAAACACACGTTAAATCCCGATTGTCTCTGCAGATTGCTAACACTGCTATGGACACTTGGCACAATGGAACGCGCTCTGACACCAGCTGCCATCCAGTCACTGTGTCAAGACTCCACGAGTGGCTGCTGCCAGGCACTCCTCTGCAAAGCCAGCTGCTCAAGAAGAAGCCACAGTGAGGGCCAGGCAGAGGAAAGGGGAAGAAACCTTCATTTGCCAGTATTGGCATCAATTGTTATTTAAAAACCACCACGTACACAAAATCAGCCTCCTAAGCAGCAGAATCCTACCACCTACCCTAAAGTCTCGTACAGATATGGATCCCACCACCAGCATCAGCCGCAGAGCCCCGAGCCTCCTGTGCGAGCAGCCCCGGCCCAGCTCCACAGCACGGGCAGCGGAGCACCGAGCAGATACAAACCCTAACAGACCTAGAGATGTCAACGGCTTTAACACCTGCCGGACAGCAAGCACACGTGGGATATCGGGGGAGAAGGGAACGCCCAGTTCTTACGGGCAGGAAAGCCGAGGAACAGGAAGAGAGGAATCCATCTGTCCCCACACGCCGCCTCTGCTGCGGCGGAGGGGCAAAAGCTGAGACCCAAACGGCGCCGCAGGGCCCCCAGGGGACACCGGGCCCCCGTCCGCGAGCGCGGCAGCTGTCTTTTTCCAGCAGGACTCCCTCCAACCCGTCTCCTTTGTTTCTCCTCGGCCCGCCCACCGCCGCTATCAGCCCTCGGGCTCGGCGCAGCCGTGCGGCTCCAAGGCCCCGCGCCCGTCACGGCCCCGCGGCGGCGTCCCACCCACCGCCCGCTCCGCTCCCACACGGCCGCCGCCCCCTCGGCGCTCAGCCCCGAGCCCCCACCGCCGCGCCCGGCCCGCAGACCCCCGCCCGCACTCACCCTCCTGGAATTTGGGCTTGGGGTCCTGCTTGGGCGCCATTTATAAGTGCCTCGCCCTCCTCCCGCCCCCTCCCCGCGGGGGCCTCACCACCTCCGCCGCATTCTGCGCGGCCGGCCCCAACCCCCGCCGCAGCGCGCATGCGCGCCGCGCCGCCCCCGCGGCATGCTGGGATCGGTAGTGCGGGGCGGGGCGGGCGCGTCGGGAGAGTTTCGCGTTGGGGCTGCGGCTGCGGTGCTGCTTCGGTTCGGTTTCGTTTGTTGGTGGTGAGGATCTGAGAGCGACTGAGGAGCACGTGACAAAAATGTAAAATTTTTTAAGAAAAATTTACGCGCCCAACGTGGGGCTCGAACCCACGACCCTGGGATTAAGAGTCCCATGCTCTACCGACTGAGCTAGCCGGGCTGTTGGGTGCAGTGCCGCTCTGTGCTCCACTCGCAGCACTTGTAGCTCCTCCGCCTGGGGAATCCCGATCCTCTGACAAATTTCACATCAAAATGATAAATTTCTTAAAAAAAATATCTCAACACTATGTAAACCAGTGTCAGTAAAAACAGTCAAGTCTGTTTTTTTTAAAATTATTATTACATTGTATTTTCAGATAGAAAATAGACTTCCCAAGACACCCTAGTGAATAGTTGGGGTCTTACCCCTTTTTTCACCAGGATACGTTCTTGGAGATCTCAGGATCCTTAAGGATTTATTTCTGTAACCACAGAAAGCTCCTTCATTTATAACACTGCAGTGGTAGGCCAGCCACCTAACCAAAATGGCAAAGCAGAATAAAGAATTGAAAGAAATCTTTAGTGGAGATGCTTGTGCCGGGTGCTGATGAGCAATGCTGAGCTGGAAATCAACAAAAACAATTTGAAGTTTTCTTTCTTCTTTCCTTTTCCTCAGTTTCCCAGGTGAAATTCGACAAGACCCGTTTTCTGAACCGCACCGTCAGTTCCCGCTGCCCTGCGGCTCCTCCGCGCCGGCAGGGGGCGCAACGCGGCTGCTTGGCGCGCAGCACGTTCCTCACAGCGCCTCGCGCCGCAACGGCGGGAAGCGGGACCCTCGAGCGTGGCGGGCTGTGCTGGGCCTTACCGGATCTTACCGGGACTAACCGTGCCTTACCGGCCCGCAGCCCAGTCACAGCGGCACTGGGGCGGTCCGCAGCCCTTCCGGGGCTCATTAGAGCGGTCTGTAAAGCGCCCATCGCAGCTCGCTCAGCAGAGCCCTCGCACCTCAGCGCTGCCTCATGCGGGGCGGGGCGGGGCGGGGCGGGGCGGCGTCCGCGCCCACAGTGTCGAGCGTCTGTGGAGGCTGCGGCTGCGCGGAGCTGCGCGGGCTTCGTGCCGTTGGTGGGGCTGGTGGGCTGCGCGCGTTGGAGCGGTCGAGGGATGGATGCGGCCGAATGTTTGTGGGTATTGTTCTGTGGAAATACTGCTTGTGGCTGTCCTGCCGCATCTCTGTTTTCGTGTTTTAACGTTATCGCTTCAGAAAAAGTATAAAAAAAAAATCCTACCCAGACCAGCAGAAGGTGTAAACATCTGGGAAGCGACAGGTTTTTCAGCGCAGGAAATACAACGCAGCCTCCAAACTGCCTCGGTTTTTGAAGAGATAAGAAAGCATTTGGAGTTCCTCCGTGTACTTTCTGCACGCAGTTTAGAAGGTGGGCGTTGGGAGAGCAATAGTGCATTGCGGGAGGACCCGCGTGTGGTAACGCGGCATTTCTTTGTGCTGTGGGCTCTGATATTCAGCCCATGCCATCTGTGCGGCTTCCCAGCAGCAGCCAGCACAGCGAGGCACGGCCGAGCAGAACGGCGCAGCCTGGGCAGAGGCTGGATCCTCTCCAGCACAGCAGTGTGAGTGCTGCGGGTCGGTGCCCCGCTCTGGGTGTACGTATAAAGAGGCAGAAGTGGCCTCGCTCTCTGCTTTCCCTTTGTCAGAACTGCTGTAACACTGCATCAGTAGCACCGCAGTCCCTGGGTGAGAGTACTGCCTTGCTGGAATTTGCCCAGGGCCATTCCAGAGCAATTGTTTTTCAAATAATGGGATGCTTTAAAATTTAATTGCATTCTTCTTCGTTGCTTGCAGAAGATGCAAATTTTGGCAAGTCAGGTGTGAACATAGTGGTACATCCAGACGTGCCCAGATTGCCACAGAGAACACAGCAGTGAGGCAGCATCCAGCAAGCCCAAGCTGTCAGACACTGACCTGGGTTTTGTCCTATGTAAAATATTTTATATAAAATTTTTCTGTGGTGTTTTACTGTTGAATTAGGCATAGAAATGCAGACTTCTGAGCAGGAATTGCTTCATTTTAAGAGCTCCACATAAGCAAAGCTGGAACACCCTATCATTATAAACCCATTAACCTCACTCACAAGTAATCTTTCCAATCCTACTTATCTGAAACTAAACACTTGGTTTTGCTGTTCTTTAAACATTTTAGCCTTCTGGCTAAATAGATAGAACTAGGTGCTGAGGTCCTGACAGGCACAGGGAACGGAAAAGGGAAGTGATATAACGTGCTCCATTACCGACAGTCCTGTATTTAGTGAGGAAGGGACTATAATTTCCTGCAGTCTTTGTGCTCTGCCAAGGAGTTATTTAAATAAAACAAAATGATCCAAGTATTGTATTTCCCATTGTTTTTATCATGAAAATTAGAAAAAAAAAAAAAAAAAAAGCAGAAAAGACAGATATATAAAAAGGGAAAGACTCAGGCCTTGTGTTTCTACTGGGAAAAATGGCAGCTGAAATAAAGCATTAATGAAGTGTCTTCCATTGGCGTTTGTGCGGTTTGCTGTGAAACGGAAGGGAGGCAGCGGTTTCACAGAGGAGCCAAAACCACGCACTTTCCCGGTGGGAAGAGATGATTTAGAGCAAATTTACGTTTGTTCCTCCGAGATCTGGTGCTCGCCGCAGAACGCTATCGGTTTCCACTCCACGAAGGAGCGGGCTGCCCGTGTTGAACGGTGTCCCCGCACACGGCGGCCGCGCGGGGTCGCTCCCGAGCTGTGCCGGCAGCCGCGGGGCAGCGGCGGGGCCGGGCCGGGAGAGCGGCGGCGGTGGCGGCGGGGCGGCCCCGCGGGCCGGGAGACACTCAGTGCCCTGCCCGGCCCGGCCCGGCCCTGCCCGCACCCATGTCGGCCCCGGGACGGCTCCTGCTCCTCGCCGCCGCGCTGGCCGCGGGCGTGCAGCGGAGCGGCGGCACCGAGCAGCCAGGTGAGCGCGGGGATGCGTGCGGGGATGGCCGCGGGTGCGGAGCTGCAGCTGGAGAGCTGGCCCCGGGGCTCCCCACGTTCCCCAGCTCCCCGCAGGCGCTCTCGATGCCCGCGGAGCAGAGCGCGGCAGCGGCTGGCTGTAGGAGCACTGGGACCCTTTGAGCCCGGGGAGGTGCTTTGCCACCAGAAATCTCCTGCACGGTTTCCAGACACCGTTTCAGATTATTTATTTATTTGCTTATTTACTTTGCTCCAATAAGTGTAATTAAACAGTGGGGATATGTGCATGGAAACTGGGACCGGCCCCCAGCTGTGCTGTGGTGGTCCTTGGTCAGAGCAGAGCACCGTGACTAACATTTGTAGGATCAGCTACTAGCAGTAGCCCATGGGAGAAGGTGAGGATGCACTGCCAGAGGGCAGAGGCAAGGTGAAGCAGCCCAGACAATGCACATACTTTGCAGGTACTGGGAACTGGCTGCTGCAATAGGTAGGCACAGCCTACCAGATCCAACAGGTATCTGCGTAACTGACCCCAGTGAGCTGTCTTGGGAGTTCAGCATCCAGCTCAAGCAGTAGGAGGAAAGATGCTTGATTGTAAAAGCTAACCACAGAAACCCTCTCTTTGCAGAACCTGCTCTCTGGTCCTCCAGCAGTGACATCGTTCATCCAGTCAAGGTTGACGAGAGCGGATCCTTTCTGTCCTACGACTTGTCCCACCGAGCCCTTCACAGAAGGTCTCTTTCCTCCAAGAACAAGTTTCTTGCTTTCTATGAACTGCATTACAAAGGACAACCCCTGAAATTCAACCTGAGCCTTAACATCAACCTCCTCACCCCTGGGTTTGTCAGTGAGAGGCGGTATGGGGGAATTGCTGATGCCAAGATCCAGTCCCACACGTATAACTCCTGCCATATGATCGGGGAGGTTCAGAGCCGGACGCTGAAGGGAGGCCTGGCTGCGCTCAGTACGTGTGATGGGCTGGTGAGTACCAAGGTTCTTAACCAACAGGGAAATAGCAGCAGCTGTGTGAAATCCTTTTTTCTTTGGAAGGTACTGGCAAAATTCCTCCTGATAGCAGCAGAGTCAAGATGTCGTTGTGTAGGTTTGATGCTGCTTCAGATGACCTGACTGTAAATTTCCCATGGATTCCAGCAGTTTGGGAACTCTTGGGACTGTGTTTACTTGTGCTTGTGTCTGAATTCCCAAAGAGCAATTCCCATATGGCCTCCATCTTCTAGTACATAAATGTAGGATTGTGAGAAACTCATCTGAAAGTGTGTTGTTCAAAGCCTGGAGATGATGAAATATCTCATGATAATGAAATACCGTTTCATGATAGTGTGGTTTATGTGTAGTGAAATCTCTTTTCACAAAAAGTGAGCATCAGCTGTCTTATTCCACGGCCAATATTTTCAAAGGCAATAGGGACATTGAAGAAGGTACGTTTTGCTGAAAGTCAAAGTCATTATCACTAGTAAGACTGTGGTGTAGGCACTTAGGAAGGCAAATTCATGTCTTTAGCATAAATTTGCATGTCTGCATTAGCTTGAGTCTGGCTGGACTGGGTCCCCACAGGGTTTAAAATCTCTTAGAGATTTGCAGAATCGTTACAGTATAACTTCATAACTCACAGACAGTCCTCAAGTAGGGTAGGGGGATGCCAACAGTGCTGGCATGTGAAGGGGTTCTGCTTCATGTGGTGACCCTGCACAGAGCTGGCACGCACACGGGGTACAGGGCTGCTGCTGCTGCAAGCAGGAATCAGTAGTCCTTCTGCCCCACATCTTTGCATTTGCAGGGTTGGTAATTCCTTGCCCTGGCTTCCTGTGTGCTTCTCTCTGAATCCCATCAGGTCCTCTGGCTGCTGCAGGTGGCTTCAGTTCAGCTGAGGGCTGTGTTTGTATTTCAAGCTTCCCGTGTTTAAAGAAAAGCAGTGTGT